GTTCTGAAATTTTTTATGCAAACTAGTCCAGTTGAGGTGTTTATGTGGGCAAAGTTTCAGATCAAGATTCAAAAATATGGCCTTGCTGCAAATGTGGGGTCTTATAGGAAAAATTCACTAAAACCTCGATATCTCACTAGGAACAAGCTAGGGGCACGAACTTTTTTTTTTACGGTAGACATAATTCATCAAGGCCTACAAGTTGCGCAAAGTCTCGACTAAAAATCGCTCCAACACCTGGGAATGTTCCCTCGTGAGCACGTGTTCAGAAAATATTCGAATATTATTAAAAATTTTAAATATTACATAGACTAACTTTCAGTTTTGATTCTCATATAATCAATTGTGAGTTATTGAGATGAACCGAAACTGTTATATAATTATCATAGAGTTCAAAGAATGAGTCAACAGTACTCGTTTTCAGAATGAGAAATTGGATGATTCCAATTAATTCATAGTTAGTAGTCACAAGTCTAGTTCTAAATCACTTGTTCAAGAAAACCTTAATTAGATAGAAAATAATTTTCTTTATTTAACTATATGAAAGCAATCTTTTGTCCATATCAAAACTTCATCATTTTTCACTTTACATCAATTTCTTATTTTGTCTATATTTTATTTTTTTCTTTATCAAATACTGAAATTAATCACGTTTCAGTTTTTCCCAAAAAAAGGCTATTCAATGGATTTCTTCGTTCAATTAATACATTGTTTTTATATTCAGAATTCATACGTTAATCATTCAATAGTCATTGATTGATATAATAGTGTTTTGTTTTTGTTGGAAATATAAATCTATTTTGCCATTCAATCATGTGTTAAGATTGCAATAGAAGACCTGGAGCCTTCTGTTATGTCTCATCTGAATTTCAGCTACATTTTTATGTAAATATACTAAATAAAGTTCCTATATGCCGAGAAATTAATTCATTAAGATATGCCTTTATATATTGACGATTTATTTGTTAATATTACTTATTGTTGTGTCTCTTTTGAAAGTTGTTTTTTGATTGGTTAATATTTCATACGAATGAAAATCTTTATCTTTTTCGACCTCCTCGATATTACAATTAAAGAAAAACTTAAAATAAAATCTTTCAAACAAAATAAAATTTCAAATAAATGAATTTTTTTCATAAAAATCTTTACACTTTATTTATGACCAAAAAAAAACAAACAAACATATCTAGAGGTCAACATAGCGTATCATTTCAATATGCCTAATATGTGCATTCAGTTGAATCGTGTTATTACAAATAATGAGTAATTTATTCAATTTACCATTTTCATTTTCTATTTATTCACAAACATTAAAAAATTTATTACAACATAGAATAAATATTCAATTGAATTCAAATGAAGATAAATGGTCGGAAAAAGCGATTAAAGGTTTAATTAAACGTTTAACTAAAACTTCTATGATTGATGATTTACAAACAGCATTAGATAGTAAAAATTCAGAAACACGTTGTGTTACAATTTCAAGGTATGAAAAACAAAAAATATGTATATAAATAATTTTATTTTTCATCCTTTTTTTTGTTTTGTTTCTGTAGAGATGCACAAAATAAATTAGTCGAACCAAATCCATCATCAACAGTACGAAAAGCATTTAATGATATAACACCTGTTGTAGCTTTTTGTCGTATATGGCGTTGGCCAGATTTAAACACACATCTTGAATTACGACCCATTAAAACATGTTCATATGCATTTCAACATGAAAAAGATCAAATATGTGTTAATCCTTATCATTATGAACAAGTCGTTGCACCATGTAAAGAATACATTTTAGCGATATGTTGTGTTAGTTTAAATACTGAAACACAGTGTCCACTGATTATACTGGTATCCGCATTCGCTACAACATTGAGCTAATAACTTACGAGGGAGGTACCCGAAGTGATTAATCGGTTTTGAGTTCAAACTCTGTGCACAAGGTAGACCCCAGTAAGGTGCGAAAAAATTCAAAAGGATAAGGGCCCATAGGCCTTTCCTCCAG